AAGCAGAGACGGGATGGTTTCTCCCAATAGTTTTCTCTTTTACTACGAGTGGAGCCTTGTTGCAGCTGTCAGAGCTTAGCACAGTCATGACCATACTCCTTTCTAGCTGAAAAATGTCCCCACTAACCTCTTTGAACCTCAAGGGAGGTTTGAAGAGCAGCTGGCAGAGACCACTCCAATCCATCCATGAGAGCCAAGCCCTGAAGGCATACTGGGGTTTCTCCCAATAGTTTTCTCTTTTACTACGAGTGGAGCCTTGTTGCAGCTGTCAGAGCTTAGCACAGTCATGACCATACTCCTTTCTAGCTGAAAAATGTCCCCACTAACCTCTTTGAACCTCAAGGGAGGTTTGAAGAGCAGCTGGCAGAGACCACTCCAATCCATCCATGAGAGCCAAGCCCTGAAGGCATACTGGGGACACCTTCCTCTTCCTCCCTCATCCACACAAGGTGCCCAGCCAGGACAGCAACACCTCACAGCCAGACCTCATGAGCTGTGCCTAGGCACCTCAGCCCTGTCTGAGCAGGGGCAGCTGCACCATCATGACACATCTGTCTCAGCCTGAGCTAGCACTTTGCACCATGGCAGCTACAGATGGCAACAGATGGCCAAAAGCCTCAGGTGCAGAAGAGAAGTATTTGGGAATATGCTGTGCTGTCTTGGCTAAGAGCTGCATCCTTCCCCTGCACCCTTCCCCTTCCTGCTCAGACTGTTTTTCTCCCTCAGGGAAGCAAATGCTACGTGCTTCTGTTTCAGAAGTACTGGTGACCCACCAGGTGTGATCAAGCACAGCCACCACCCCAGCAGATGTGTTTGCCAGATGGATTTACTGTCCTACTCCCTCCCTGAGCACTCTGTTTTTTAGGACTGAAGTACCCAGAAGCAGGAAGTTGCATCACTCTAAAGGTCACATTCCTTCCCCTTTTAGTCCAGATTTAGCACCAGTTTGAAGCCACAAGATTCAAGTGAATACTAGACAGGACACCCACAACTTCTGCAGGGATGCAGGTTAGAGCAGAAGTAGGTTTCTTGGTTGAATAACCAAATCTATTGCATGCCCATCCTCTCCTGTCTGAAGTCCTGTATCTCCTCCTGGAAAAGCCAAATAGTTCTTTCAATGGCATCTCCAAAATTAAGATTCATCAACTACTGATCAAGACAACAAGAAGCCTCAAGGGAATCTGAGAACTCACTTGCATTTTTGGGATGTTGCTAACAAGCTGCTTCACATGGGAAGCTGTTGATCCATGGGAAAGCTGGAGGAGTGACAGTGCTAAAAGCAAACACTAAGCCTGTCTGAGCTTTGGTAACACACTTTAGTCCTAACTACCCACTCAGCTGCCCAAATGTTCCAAATCAGGAAACAGAAGTGGTTGTGGGATGTCCACCTTCAGGCATCCAAGATGGAAGAGGTGAGCATCCAAACGAGCCCCCACTCCCCCTGGAGCACTCGTGGCAAGTGAGATGGAGGCAGAGGGGAGTGGAGTCATTAATCTGTTATGATGAGGGAAGGGGAAGGAGGTGGGGAAGGAGGTGGGAAAGGCAATCAACTGCAACTCAGACACAAACCCTCCCCCAGAAAATGAGACCCAAAAGCACAAAAGCCCAACACATGAGCAGATGTTACCAGTGGTACCACTACTTCTAAGTAGCAGCATGTCCTTACCAAAAAGGTTTGCAAGAATGTTTGTGGCCGAGGACCTAAGGTAGTTGCTACAGAGATGTGAAATCAGAGGTCAGCTCAATCCTGCAACATAAAGGTGGCAAACCTGGGTCACAGCAGATCAGCAGCACGGTCGGGGTGCATGGAATGGGGGAGAGGGATGGAAGGGCAAGGAGAAGGATGCAGGACAAGGCTGAGCCACTGCACTGGGCTCGCCCAGGAGCTTACCTGGCAGCAGCCCTGCCCCCTTGCACCACCTGCGAGGCCTGCAATGAAAAGCTGCTGATGCCGCAGTGAAGATTTGAGGGGGGGAAAAGTAAGCCAGCAACAAAGCAAGACAAAAAAAATTTCACAAAGCTGCCATAAAGAAACGAACAACACAAATATGGAAGAGAAGAAAATAAAGGAGCAGTAGGAAAAACACATCTGCCAATGGCTCTCAGTGGCGAAGGCTGCTGAGGACCTCCAAGGGACCCAAAGCCCTGGCACTGTCCATCAGTTCAAGGTGCACTGTCCTGCCCTGGGACCACTCCAGACACACATGAGCAGTGATGCCTGGGAGATGCCACGTGCCCAGGACAGGTGCATCACCCCCTAAAGACTGTTCTACAGTCCTGAGTGCAAAAGCCCCATCCCACTGCTGTCCTTAGGCAATGTCCCCTCAGTGTCCCCAGGGGCATTTGTTGCCACAGAGGAACCAGCCCAAGGCCCTGCAGGACTCCTGGCCCTGAAAACCTGAGCAGCAACCGCTCAGCTGGTTTGGGTGGAGCTGCTCATGCAAAGGGTCTGAATTTGCCAGCTGCAGGTAGGGTTTTTTGCATTGGTGTTTAGTAGGATCCTGAAAAGCAATTGCCATTGAGCCCCACAGATATCTCTGACATTGCCTCAGTCCATTCCACCACCACCCTCCCTAAAAGAAAAACACACCCTCCCTAAGTGAAAGAGACACTAACAGCCTTGCTCAGTGTTTACAGGGTGGGGGCTTCAGGCATGATAAAGATATTACAAAAGGAAGAAAGCATGTTTTTTCCTGATGCAACCAATGCAGAATCAACCCCCATGCCAGAGGAAACTGGAGCCCATTTCTGTTGCTTACTCCAGAGCACACAGCCTTTGCAGATCTTTGTTCCCAGCAGTGCTATAAGGCAGGTAAAGGCCAAGATCTGAGGACAACTGGGAGCCCAGAAGCCAGAGGAGGAAGGGAAGACACCTCAGAATGACTGCAGGCTTGGCTAGTGGAGGCAGTCTACATGGAGCCTCCACCACAGTGCACCACCTGAGTCTTTGCCAGGACCAGAGTAAGTGTGTGTCAGTGCCAGCCCTTGGGCATGTCTCTGGATTTACATTGCCTACCACAATGCCCTGCTGACACCATAAACCTGAGCCACCCCAGCTGTTGGCATCAGAGATGTTGCCTACAGGCCTCAAGGCAAGGCAGGAGATGCCTGAGCCAGGGATGAAGTGTGATCCACCCATCCTTGCCTTCCCTGCTGTGTTCAAGTTTCCACTTGGCTCATGCCAGCTATGGTGGCACTTAGACCATGGTATGACAGGCAAGGGGTGACAAATGCTCCATAATCATTCTGGGAGGTGCACACCACTGGGTGGAGAATTGGGTCCTCCAGCCCTCGGGACAGCAGTGGAGAGGACACTACCTCCCAGGCTTGTTGAGCCACCACTGGGAAATCAGTTCCTTGGAGTTCACCCAAGAGGGAAGAGATGTGAGCTGCAGATATCTAGAGTCCTCAGCTGTGGGGTTTGACAGCTCTGGTTTAGCGTGGGCTCTGTGTGCCTGTAGGCTGAAGGACTCCTGTGTGGGCAGAAACTTCACCCTGACAGCACAGACTGGCTTTGGACAGGGCTTTGCAGCTTGAGGTGCAAGGTTCAGGTTGACTTCCCGTGTGAGAAATCTTGAGCCAGCCCCATCTCAGTGAGCTCTAAAGCCTCACACCCACTCACTTTGCTCCAGTATTTCTGAACTATGCCCATATCCTTGGTTTGAAGGCCATCCACAGGGCAAAGGGAGGGGAAGTAGCTAGAGATCAGGTCCTCAACAGACATATATCATCACAGTACTAATGGGATCAGGAGAACTACACCAGTTGCATCAGCTGGAAAATTTTGTCTAAGCATCCAGAGAAGGAGCTTGAACAGCTACAAAGGTATATAGGGCCACAGTGCCTCCATCTCCTAAATCAGCATGACTATTTGTTCTCATGTCTTCCTGGGTGGGAGAGGTCTGGACCACTGGTGCAATGAGACTTGAGACTACCAGGGCAGTATGGGGAGAGAGGTCTGAGCACACTCAGCCTGCTCCAAGGGGATGCCAACCAGATGGGATTGGGCAAGAAGAAAAAGGAAACTCAACTTACCTTTGCTCTTCCTCGAGCTCTTCTTTGGACATCATTGCCTTGTACTGGTTTCCCCTCAGCTTTCCAGGACTGTATTTAAAAGAGAAAGTCTCATCTGCAGCTGGAGAGGGAAGAGAAAGAAGAACAAGAGATCTGTGAACCAGAGACCTCCAGAAAGCAACAGTCAGCAGCAATGGGGTTGTTCCCTCTGGGTGCTCACTGACTCCTGCACACACCCCTAAATGCTGTAGCCACCCCAGCACACTGCCCCAGTCAGCTCCATCTCCAGAAAGCCTGGGCAGTGCCAGGGACATGGTGTGGATTGCAGAGGATAGCCAAGGTGTTGCTGGGCAGAGGATGGCAGGAGTCCTGTCTGCAGCCAGCACTGGAAACAGCAAGGACTGCTGTGAGCGAACAGCCTGCTTGGAAGCAGATCCAAGTAAATCCTACAGCACAGGAACCATATGCTATTGTTCTTCCTGGATTCAAAGCCTTGCAGGCCCATCTTGGCTTATCAAGACATGCTAATCCTACCCTGATTAACTCGCAGCATTTTCCGCTTCTCCTCTCCAGACTTACATTCCTCCTCCCTCCCTCCCTCTCCTAGTCCAGGGGCCCTTTCCCATGCTTAGGGCTCAAAGGGGGTGCCCTGAGCAGAGCTGTCCCAGGCCACACAGCCCAGCAGCTTTCCTGCAGCTCTTGACAAAGCTGTGAAAACAGGAGATGCAAATCCTGGGGCTGCCAACAGCCCTGAGCCAGGGCAGCCCCAGGAGCACCAACACAGCCAGGTCCAAGTCCCTCTGTCACCAGCCAAACTGAGGTCTCCTTCTCCAGGCCTGGGTGCTGTCCCACCCAGCTCACCAGTCTCAGCCCTGTGCTAATTAGAGCACCAAAGCTCACAGACTGAGCCAAAGCCGATCCTTTTCCAATCGGATTGTGTTGGAGCACTATTTGCTTTTAAAAACCTCTCTCCTGCTTTATCTTCCTACAGATGGGAGGAAGCAACAGGAGGGGAGGTCAATCCAAAAGGGGCCCAGGAGGAGCCGCTGCTTTGGGTAGTCGCCTTTATCGGTTATCCGTGGGCTGCTTATCTGAGAGCCTTTATCTCTCAAGGACTGCAGGACTCAGCTGCTTCACATCCAGCCATCCAGCACTGCTGTTTCCACATCCACCCAGGGACATCTGCTGCTTCCCCAGACCCTTGGAGCCCTGGAGACACTTCCAAAGGGGCCACAAAAAGCTGTTGCTGCATTTTCTACAATGGCCCTGAAAAATTGCACATTATACACAAACCCAGGACGATACCTGTTAGCATCAGCAGGACCCCAAAAGTGGTGGAGCTCCCCTGATTTCTAGGGCAGGAGAGAAAGCTCTGACTTGTACATAACCCTTGGATCCATCCCCTGTCTCAAGCCACCTAGGAAGTCCCTTCCAATCCTCTCCACTGCTACCGCAGGCACCACATCCATCAGGGTCTCTCTCTTCCTCCACTTGCCCAAATGAAAAACACCCCACAGCCCCTCTCCTCCCTTCCTCACACCCAGGATTTTCAGCATCAGCATTTTTCCTCTATTTTCCAATCAATATTGCTCTTAAAGATTTTCCTCCCTGTGTCCAAGGTCAGCTGCTTGATTTAGGGATTTCTCCAACCCTTAAACTTGTGCTCACATTCAGCTGCTGCCAGACCTTGGGAACCTTCATGTAAGTCAGGGCTTTGTTTTGTAGGTGGGGAAACCAGAGATGTCAGAAATAAGCAGTGCAAGGCTGCACAGGGAGGTACAGGACTGAGTGTGCTGAGCGCTGGAAGGTCACTGCCATCAGCATATGGAGCAGGATGGGAATTTAACAGAAACCTCCTCCCTGCTAACATCCACATTTCCTCACTTCTCTACACCTTCATGTCCCTGATCCTTGGGGAGCTTCCCTAGGAAGTTTTGGTGGGTTACTGCTCTGCTACTGATCCATTGTGTTTCTCTAATCCCAAAATGCCATCAAGGCTCCCAGAGGAATGAAGCAAACCCTCTCCCTAGCAACAGTGAATTGTCCAAACACAAGCACCCTGATGCTCTGGTCCCACAATTCCAGACATTCAGCTCAGCCATATCCCACTTCCTTCTGTGGGAAAACCATCTCCATGGCAGACAGGCAAACCTGGCCAGCTGGAAACAAGGAATAATGCTGCAGCTTATCAGCCCTTTGGGTGGCCATAAAAGTGCATGGAAAGAATATTCAGCTGGCTGCTGCTTTGGGAAACATTAGGAGAAAGCAAAGGGGAAAAAAAAAAAAAAAGAGGGTGTAACATCCTGTTCCTTACACTGGTACAGAGCAGGAGCTGTTGAGCTGTTTCATTACCTTTGTATAGCTCGCCTGATTTCAAGGACAATTAAGATCGTTTCCCTCACGTGGTTTTCTGCCAAGTAAATTGAGATTTGGGATTTTGCCTAGCCCAAAAAGGGCAGTTTAATTGCCACCTCACCAGAAAATAATAAGGGAAGAGGGAGGTAAGGAAGGTCCCATCTCCCTGCCCACATGGTGTGGTTAGAAAGGAGCCAGTGTGCAGCTCTGGAAACCACTGGCTGTTTTCTGAGCTCAGGAACTTTCTTAGCAGGTCGAAAACAAACTTCAGGAAACACACAGAAAAGGGGAAGGCTGGCTTTTCATGCAGATAGCGAAAACACTACAGAAATAGGAGGTGACCTACTTACTCAGAGCCTCTGTGAGTTCATATTAAAGGAAACATTTGTCTTTCATCTCCCTGCCCTTGCATTGCCAATGCTATGACCCTGAGCTAGCAGGGTGAGAGCAGCCCCAAGAGTGCACCTCATCCCTGAACATGCTCCCTCTGACGTGTTTCACATGTGCTCTCTGCCAGTTCCCTGCCTGAAGCAAGGGGAAGGCTGCTCCAGTGGTTTTAGGCTGGGCCCAGGCTGCCTGCACGATCCCCACGAGCCCAAGGGGAATCTCTGCCCAGGGCCTCACCAGGCAGCAGCTCAGTGGCTTGAGCAGGGCCAGGACCAAGTGACATGCAGGAGAGACAGTGAAGGAAGGAGCAAGGCAGATCCCAGTAAAGCTGCATCCCACTTGCCTTCTCCCCATCAGGCTGAGCCATCACTTTGCTCAGTCCCATTATAAAACACTTCAGAAATGGTGTAAATAATTCAGGAGAGGAGTTGGTGGCTGTCTGCAGGAGACACTGGGCTAGCCAAGACTCATGGCCAGGGACCATCATCTCCTGATCCCAAGCTACAGCCTCTTTGGGGTGATGCCCAAAAGTGCCAGAGCAGCCCTGAAACAAAGCTGAACCCAAGGAAGCAAACCCCAGCAGAGCAGCATTCCTGAGCATCCATTTGGCAGGATACATCCATCATTCCTCAAACCAAGTGGCACTGCCCAGTAACATCCCCAATCACCAGTGCTGTGAGGAAGCCTAACAGGGTGGAATAAGTGTATTTTGGGACCCCCATTCTCCAAAGGCACTTCCCCCACCTTGCAGGAATGGCACCAGGATTAAAAGTTGATTCTCTGGCATTAGACATAATCCTCCCGAGCTGGGGGATTGCCACACAGCACCTTAAAACAGCCAAGCAGAAAGTGGGGCAGGGAAGGGGGAACACCCCAAGCTGTCCTGCTGCTCCAGTTGCCCCTGGCCACTCTGAGCCAGGACTCTCAGGGACATCCCAGCATCTCCAGGGCTGCTCAAGAGAGCAGAGTCCCCTCCAGACATACATTCTGGCTTGGCACCATCTGTTTCATTTTCTTAGGAGCGTAGCAGTTGTCACCCCAATTAGTCAATTAATCATTTTCCAATCAACTAATTGGCTAATCAGTTAAACATGGCTCTGACTAAAGCCCCTGGAGATTGTCCTGGATGTGAGCAAGAAGCTTTTGGGGCAGCTGCATCATCAAGCTCCCCCATGGCAAACAGCCCATCTGGGGAAGAAAAGAGTGGTAGGAATTTCCTCCACATTTCCTGGAGTAAGGAGACCATCCCCAAGCACTTGGAGCTTCAGACCTGTTCATACTCTCCCTGCAGGTACTGACTTGCTTGGCACTCACCATCCTCATCCTCTGGCTCTCTCACCACCAGCTTCTCGTCTTCCGAGTCCACATCTTCCTCCTGGAGGAGTTAAAAACAGAGCCTTGTGCATCCCAAGGGCAAAGCACATGGGAGAGAGGGGAAGGAGCATGGAGGGAGGCTGTTGAGCCACCAGGCTATTGAGGAGGACACAGGAAAAGTTGGGGTGAAGGAGACCTGAGGGAAATGAAGCCAATCCAAGAAGGACCATGCATAGAGCCGAGCACTGGCTTTGCAGTGCAGGACTTTGGATGAGCTGCTGGAGCACAGCATGTGGCCCCGGCCCAGAAGTAGGTTAGTTTGTCATTGGGGAGGAATGTGCATTATTCACAGCCATTTGGCTTCTTCTTCTTGCCACTCTGTTCCCCAGAAGGAGATGCTACTGACCCCCACCCACTGCTATTTTGGGCCACACTTCCAAACATGGGCACTTCCCACTGGACACACAGACTTGCCCTGAGGGTGGCTGGAAGCAGGGATGCTCAGCCCAAAGGAGAGGCCTCAGGGAGGGGATGCTCAGCCCTGGTGACTCAACCACAAGCCCAGGGCAGCAGTTCCCCATTGCATCCATCTCTCCCTTTGAGCTGGGACATCCCCAGGGAGACCCAACCCTCCAGGAGATGCCACAAGAAGGGAGATTACAGCCAGTTCCTTGCCTGGGCATTACTAACATTTCTGAGCATTTAGAAAGGAAGCAAGTAGGAAATTTGGCACTAAGTCTTTAAGGAAGGAAAATAGCTGTGCTCCAACCCAGAGGAAGAAACACTTGATGGGAGCACAGAGGGAGCAGCCAACGATGCCAGGCGACAGCAATGTGCCGCAGCCGTGCTGAGAACCCCCTGCTCGTGGCAGCCAGTAGCTCCCTACAGCACAACATTTTTCTGCTTGGATGGCTTAGAGGCAGATGCCAGCACCTCCCTTCCCCCATGCTATAGCCCCAGCCTTGACATCCTCATCCCTCTGTCTTGCCAGGGCTGCTCATTCACGCAGCCATTACTGCCCCGTGCCAGAGTCCCCCCAGCTGGCTTAGTGTGACCCCACTAAGCAAGGTGTCACTCCCTCCACCTCCAAGAAGCACATTTGCACCTAGAGTACTGTTTTTCTCTGCTTTAAAGGGGCCAAGCCATTAAAATCCAACACAACCTCTCCGGGGGAGTGCATCAGGCAAACCTTGCCCCCTTCTCCCCATGGCCACTGCTGCCCAGGGATGATGTCCCACCCAGGCAGGGACACAGGTATGCTGCTTGCTGTGCCACCCTCCCCAGGCTGGTTCTCCACCCCACACACACCTCTGCATGGCTGGGAAGCACTGCATGGCCAGATGCATCCTCTGCTTTTCCTGTGTGCCTGAGGCTGGACCCAGGTGAGGCACCCAAAGGTGGAATCTGGAAAGAGGCAAAAGCATTGAGCACAAACACCCCCAAGCCCTCCCCATGCTCAGCCAACCAGCCCCAGCAGCACCAGCACATGTGGACAAATCTTCAGATGCAGCTGGTATCCCACCTTTCCCCCATGACTGAGCACATGCTGTCTCTGATCCATGTGCCAGGCCATGGCCCTGCTGCTGGAGTGAGGAACACTGGAGACCTCCTGTGCCCAGCCCTGGAGCCAGGGTTTGGAGCTCATTATTTGCTCTCTGCAATAGCCCTGTGGGACTGGGACCAGTGCAAGGAGCCAGCAGCAAAGGGGAGCAGCTCTGCCAGTGCCAGGCTCGGCTGCCCATGTGTCCTGGCAGGGCTGGAGGCAGCTTCCCGGGATGCTGATGCAGCAGATCAGGACTAGCAGGAGGGGAGAGGAGAGGAACAGCACAATGTGCTCAGTTCATGAATGCCTGCAGAGCCAGCTGCCTTCTCCATTGCAGGGAAATAGCCCCTTGAAACCCTCCCATCCCCCCTGCAATCCCCAGGCTGGTGCTTCCCAGCCCTCTCAGCCCCACATCAGCTTTTGGACCCTTGTGCAGAGCCAGCTCTCCCCTGCCCAAACACTTCTCAGCTGAGCCGGGAGGGCGCCGCGGAGGAGGAGATGTGTGGGCAGGGAGCAGCACATCGTGTCTGTTGGCCTTGAAGTGAAATACCAGTGCTGGGCTGGGAGCAGTCCCTGGGCTGGCTGGAAAAACAGTCAGCAGGGACAAATTCCCACCTCAGGCCTGGCTGTGCCCACAGCCCCTGCCAGGCAGAGAGGAGGGGAGAGCCCACCTTGCCTGGAGCATCTCAGAACCTCCAGGGAGCCCTAAATTTCAGAGCTCCTTGGCCCTGACATGACCAGTGGGTGCTGCAGTCCTGGTTCCCTTGGAGCCATGGGGCAAGAGCAGCTGAGCCAGGAGTTGCTGTGTCCCAGCATCCAACAGGATGCTGAGAAGAGGACAGCATCTCACAGCCAAAAAAGGAGTAGGAAGGTGCTAGGGCAACACTGGGAGACTTGACACTCAAAGAGGAGACCATGGCACCCCCAGGCACTGCTCTCCTGTAGAAAGCTCAGCCCAGGAGGGAATTCGGGGAGACTGTTTCGAGCAGCAGGGAGTGAGGAAAAAGTGTGGATCAGGGCTAGATGGCAGCAGGAGCTGCTGGAGAAGGGACCTGAATGCTCCATCCAACAACCACAAGCCAGCATCTCTCCACGGTGCACACAGACCACGAAAGCCTCCCCACAGGAAAAAAAAAAAAAAAAAGGGAAAAAAAAAAAAAAAGGAGAAAAAACAGAACCCAGCACTGCAGGGAGACTGTGCACGTCATTATCCCGGAGCATCTGGAGGAGACTCGACACGGCTGCCCAGGCCAGCTGCTGCAGCTAACAAAGATAGCAGAGGGGACGTGCTGGGAGCAGCTGCCCTGGCCCCGAGGCCAGGCCGGGCTGGGACCCAGCACACCCACAGCACATCCCGTGCCTGCCTCCTCTGAATCACACCTCTGCACAGCTTGCCAGCGGCTCTGGAAAGGCCAGGGTTAAAATCCAGCAAGTCATCTACCTTAAATAACAAGGCAGCCATCCATCTGCTTCGGCTGTTGGCCGCAGAGCCGAAGCATTTGTTGGATCATCACAAACGTGCCTTTGCCCTTTAGCTTCATGGCCACAAGTGAGACACCCACAAGTGAGGCTGAGTCTGTCAGTGGGGGCTTTGGACCAAAGCAGAGTGAGGACAATACTCCAGGGACATTCTGGACACAGGCAGCACTGACCACGGACAACCCCGAGTCTCCCAGGGGAAGATGGTTCAGATAGAGGAGCTTAGCATCGTGTCCCCAAAATCCCTCCTCATGGCTCTGCCACTGCTGAGTCCTCTCCCAGCCCTACAGGAGATGGAGGTCAGGCTTCCCATCACAGCATCATCTGGTTTTCAGCTCATTTCTGGCCGTTTCCTCCCCACTTCCTCCATCCCCAGCACAAACCCCTCTGAGCAACAGGCTTCCCTTCTCAGAAAGGACACAGGGAGGCCTTGGGGCTGCTGTGTCCCTCTCCCTTTCCTTAGTTGAAGGGACAGCCTTGACAACTGTGGGCAGACTGGGGACAAATAAGTGCCCTGCTCCAGCTTTATGAAAAGAGAAGATCCCAGACTGCAAAGCAGAGGAGAAAATTATCTTGGATTAAACTCCCAAGCCCTGTGTGTTGCCATTTATGGCTGCACTTTCTGCTCCAAGCCTGATGCAAGACATTGCAAGAGGGAAAGAAAGCAGACAGGAGAGAGCCAGCCAGAAAGAGAAAAGCCAGGAGAAAAGGGGAAGGAAGCCTTTTAAAAAAAGAAAACAACAAAAAAGACTAAATAATAATGTTGGGCAGAGTTTAGCAAAGCCAAGCAGCTGCTATGTCTGCAGCTCCCCTTCACCCACTGCTGGGGCTCTCCATCCTCCCTCCAGCCAGAGAAGCAGCTGTTTCAGAACAAGAGCAGTTTTCTAGCCCTGGCAATGGTCCTGCCAGCTCCAGGGTGCCTGGTGGGGATGTGCTCATGTGGAGATGGCACTTTGCAGGTCTGACCCCCCTCAAGTGTGGGAGCATCTGCTCCTGCCAGTTCCCCTATCACTGCTATGGGCAAGGACAAGCCATAGAGTGGCCAGAGCATTGCCAAAGCTCCAGGACCATCCAGCCCTCAGTGAGGGGTCAGGCAGTGCCACATCTGATGAAGAAAACACCAGTATGTCCCATGGCAGGGTGAGGAGTCCCAGCTCAGCAGCACCAATCCTTGCAGCACCATCACGTCCCAGTGCAGCACCCCCAGGACTGCACCCAGCCAGCTCATCCACAGCTCTCCCCTTTGTGCTCTGCCTTCTGGCAAGCAAACACTGCACACCAGGACATCCCTTACTGCCCAGATGAGCCAGATGGCACCCTTGGGAGCAGGAGCAGGCAAAGCTGTCCCTCACCTGGAAGGCTGACCCAGCAGCTACTCACACAGGTGGGCATTTTGGGAGGCACAGAGTCCTCATGGCCTCTGCTCCAGCAGTGCCCTGGCTGTGGCACAGCTCCCAGGGCTGCACCCAGCCCAGAAGGAACTTGGCAGCAGCCCAACCTCCTCAACCCATGTAGGGGACACAATATAGAGCCCCAACACCACTGTGTCCCATGCCATGTCCCAGCCCCAGCCCTGTGCTCCAGCCCCATAGCCTGGATACAGGGTAGGGTATGACATGTGCACAGGCTCCCTGGGGAGTGACACATGTCCTGTCTCATTTCCCAATTTCCAGCCACTGCAGGAGATGATGCATTTGTCATTGGCACAGAAAGCTCTGGGTGAGAGCTGGGCACATCTGAGCAGTCAGGGTCTGGCTGAGGAACCCTGCATTCCCTGGCAGGGGCCCATGCTGCTACCAGGGCTGTGACAAGGAGTAGCACATCATCACATCCCACTCCAGCACACTGTGGGACACTGGAGCTCCTGCCCCAGCCCACTGGCAGTGCAAACACAGCCTGCACAGCCACCAATTAAAGCCAGACTCAATTAGACACCCTCTCCCCTCCAGCACAGGGAAGACAGGCAGGAGGTATTAGAGGGGGACATGCTAACTTCTTAAATGTGAAGAGGGTCCCTGCTGTGAGCTGGGTGGTTTGTGCTGCCTGGTGTGTCCAGAGCCACCAGGAACCCCAGAAAGGCACAGATTGAGGTGGGGAGCACAGGGGAGAGAGCTTGACAGAAGAGAGAGATGACACAACCCTTGTGCCTTTGCTATCCAGGTGACAGCACCACCACTACCCTGCTCAGGCAGGGTTTGCATGCCCCCCCTCTCCCACTGTGACTCACTTGATTGCTCGGGCAGGGTTTTCATGTCCCCCCTCTCCCACTGTGACTCACTTGAGCCTGTTCTGTTTGAAGCTGCAGTTAACCCTTGGCAAACCAGCCAGGCTGCTGTGCCCAGCAGAGCCTGGCACTGCCTGTTTACCCTCCCTGCCTCCAGAGCATCCCAGCCAGGGTGGCATCCCAGCAGTGCCTCTGGACCACCACTGAAAACCCTGTCCTGTCCCTGCCACCTGCCATTCCCAGGACAGAATCTCTCATTACACAATTAAAGTTTCTGACCGTTTCTCACAAGAACCAAGCGCCACAGCTCCAGTGACGCTGCTGTTCCCACCCAACAGCTTTTCATTAGGGGATTGCTTTGACAGCACTGCCTCATCCGTTAACAAGCTGGGGATGGGGATGAGAACAGACAATGACAGACTAATTAACTTTTTTTCACTGATGGGAGCCAGCAGAGACAAGGGAAACCACTACCAGCAGTTAATGCAAACATGGACTCCTGCACTCCTTTCCCTGCTCCACCACTGCTTCAGTTTATAGCCTTGGATATGATGCTGCAACCCAGAGATGGGCAGGGAAGCTTCAGCCCACACCTGTTTTACCAGCCTTGCAGGAGATGGGAGCAGGAGGGAGGCTGTTCCACGCAGCTGCCCCAGCAGATACTGGTTTACACAGGCAAGGAGAAGGAAAGGAAGGAGGCAGCAGGATGCAGAGCTCCAGCAGTCATTAAGCACACCAAGGCTGCTCTCCCTGAGCAGGTTTATCCATCAGCATTTTGGTCGAGTGGTTAATGGCTGCAGTGAATCTGAACCAGGCTGTACAGTACGTGCTGAGTGAACAGGAGGGAAGGAAAATAAAGAATGAAAATCAGGAAAACAAGCTCCCTGGGTGCTGAGCACAGCCCTCTGCTTGCTGCTGCACCAAGAATCCCTGAGCCTGCAGCAGCCCCAACACTGCCAGGAGCCTGCAGCCAGGTGGATGATGTCTGGGAGCTTCGTCTGCTGAGTCACATCAGGGGACTGCAGCCCTCAGCCAAGCCAAGATGGGTTGGATAGGGCACAATTCCATCAGCAGCCTGCAAAGCACTCGTTGTTCTGCCCAGGGCCAGCCCCATCCCTGCCTGTAATATCTGCTGGGCCTGAGTGATGCTGAAGGATG